CACCTCAGTGAATGGAAACAAAAGTTGAACTTTAAAGAAGCAGGGTAAGGACAGCACTGATGCTTTTGAACTTTGGTGTTGTAGAAGACTCCTGAGAATATCGTGGACAGCCAAGAGGTGATGAGGGCACCATTGAGAGACATGAAAAAAAAGGTTAGGGATAGATTGTCTTGGAGAAAATCTATCTATGTGGTTGCTAGGAGTCAAAAACTCCTTCCTGTAGTTTGCTCAGCAAAAATCACCAAAGGCCTTTAATGTCACAAAATTTAATTGGTTACACATGCTTAGATCTTTAGCCTTATCTTGTTGTAGCAAAATAATTTTTTTTGATACAAGTTGCTGTTCTTTACATGCCTAACTCAAGAATGTAGATACTTGTAAAAATAAAGTGTTTAAGATCTTTTCATTTATATGGTATTGAAAAATATGTATCTTTTTTGGATTTAACGTAATCCTTGAAGCAGGCTTCAACTATGAAGAAACCTAAAGAACAATACATTTTAAATAACTCTTGAAATGAGCTTTCCATACTGAAACATCAAAAGTACAGGATGCTCATTGTACACATTTGTGCAACAGCTTCCATAAGTATCTCATTATGGTCTCAAATTTGTGCAAAAAGAAAAAGAAAGATCTTATAACACTTGCTACATGCTAAAAACTATAGAAAAGGAGTATGCCTACGTTACTATTTCTTTATGGTGTAAGCAGTGTTATACTAATATAGAAAAGAAAATACAGTAATCCAAAAAGGTATAAGAAAAATAAAAGAAAATATAGATAAATTTTATACCATCATTAATTATACTTCTCCATCTCTTACTGTCACTGCAACCTGTTCTTGTTACCCCACATTGATGCACAGCTGCATACCTTTGCCCTTTAAACTTCCCCCTTTTACTTAATATGAACACTATATAAAGGAAGAGCATCAGAATAATCTATGTATGGAGAAGTGTGTTGAAGAACTAATAAGAAGATGGGTTGAAGCATCAGGAAAAATGATGTCATATCCTAAGGGTTTAAGGAAAGACATACCATGAAAAAGGTTGTTAGTCTCCTAAAGCTTCAGTTCCTGTTTTATCCAGCACCCTTTCTCCATCCAGACACATGCCAAAGAAATCAAAGACTACCATATATAGTGACAGATAAGCAACACATGCACTTAAAGTCTCCTGGGAAGATCTATAAGAACTAAACCTTGTCTTCTTTTCTTCCCCATTTCCCTTATCTTTCTTTTTGTCTTCCCAGTTTTATATTAGGAGAAAATTTTGTAGTCAAGTGACAACTTTCAATGCTTAATTGTAATCTCTTGTTTAACCAAGTAAAAAAGCAAAAGAGTTCAAATTGGTCTGCTTCCTCAATCTTCTGCTAAGAGCTTATCCACATAAACAAGGAAAAGGATTGTGTTTGCATGGCCGTGCTTGGGACAATGAAATTGACAATCCAGTAAGATAAAACCAAATGAATACAGGCTACCTCGGAGTTGATATTCCTGAAGTCAAGGACTGACTGACAAGTCCAACTTCTAAATGTGAATAGCCCAAGGAGTGATGTCAGAGTGGACATCAATGGTAAATGTTGGTAATCTTGGTGGTGTATGATCTACTGAAGAGTTATAGTAGTTATATGTGGAAGGCATTTGCAGAGTTAATGGCTGGTTGATAAACCCACAGTAAAATACCTGAAAAACAGATTCCTAGAGAGTGGGACAACTGATGGTCCCATGTTAATGTGTAAGGAAAACAATATTGTTTGAAAATACACACACAGTACCATAACACTTCACCCAGATCCATTACCTCCTTCTCTTTTCTCTTAGTTTCATAGATACAAGATCTATTTTTTTCTTTTGTTTGTTAATTAATATTTACTCCTGTTACATTCAAAATCACAATTGTCCATATGCCATGGTCATCAACAGATGGTTCCACAGATATTGACTTCCACAATCTGTCATGTATTTGGTCAATCAAGGTTTTCACATAAGACTTTGTGATAGCATAGAGAAGGTGTAAAGAGTTATTACACCATTCTAAGAAATTAGCATAATTAAGCAACCCTCAAAATAAGGAGAATAGTAATTATGAGCCATGTGATTGTTGTTAAAGAATTAAAACTTTCTTAACTGATATGTTTCCAGAATTAGATTTTTGAAAGTCTGACAATAGATAGATAGATAGATAGATAGATAGATAGATAGATAGATAGATGGTTATAGCCTGCTATCTTCAACACAATATAATAAGTTTCAGGGAGACTCTTCTGAGTCCATCTTCCTGGCCATTTGAATTCATATGTCATTTCTCTATAAGACATTACTTGCTATCTGCCAATAGAAAAGTTCTCTTCCTCTTCTACCAGCTAGTCAGGGGGAAAAAAAAAATTCCAAAGCACAACCCCCAAAAATGTACAGAAAAGGAAAGATGTAACATTCTTGTTTAATCTACAGGAATGTACCACACTGACTAAATAAATATCTGTTTAAAATACAGAAAAAGAAAACTCTGTAATACTCAGTGAATTTGGTTATATGACCTTCCACCATAAATAATATTCACTCCTCAGACTCAATACATAGAAAGTTTGTGAAAAGTTGGTCATTTCAAAAAGCATTTGGGGACTGAGGACTGTGTGGTTGGTTAATTTCTGGATGGCTGAAGGCACTAGGATTCATATTGCTTATTTTGTGACTGTTGGATTTAGTATATGATGTTTGCTTTCTTATTGTACAAGTATTATATTAGTTTTATGGACATTTGTGTTTATAATATATTGCATTTTTGTTTTAAGCTTTTTAGAGTCAGAATGATTGAAGAGGCATAAATATCCATAATAAATAAATGAATAAGCAAATGTTGGTTTTCCTAATTAGATGTTTCACTATGTCAAAGGAGAAAGAGCAGTGTGTGTGTGTGTGTGTGTGTGTGTGTGTTTGTGTTCTATTTAATAAATGAATCCTCAGAATCAGATAGTGTCAAAATCAGGGCTACCATATCTGGCCTACAGAAAGTTTTCTGTATCTTTTTAATGCCATCTAGTGATCATCTAGAATTTTGCAGCCTAGTTACAGTAGGCCTAGTCAAAGTGTCACATAAGGACTGTGGAATCAGAAGGTCAGATCCAGACAGGAAGCTATCCATACTGGAAAAAAGAAGGAAAGTAGCAATAGCAATACATATTCATTTCCTTGATTGTTTATTGAATGTACATTTTGTCTTTCATTCTAGAACATAACTCAAGGCATCATACATAGCACAAACCTTGAACTTTGCAACTGAAAGTCCAATACATATACATTCTTGAACTGTTCTCTAGGATGACTTGTTAGAATCATGGATCAATTCTTTACCTATAAAGACCTTTTAGAGGAATTTAGTATGGTAAATCAGAGGTAAGAAGTATGAAGATATATTTTCAAGTATGTTGAAAACAGAAGGACAATGTACTGTCCACAAAAACAGTGGAAAAAAAGACAGGAAATGAAACATTTCATTGTAAATGGATTTATTAAGAAAACAATTAATAATAATTATCATTATTATTATTAGACATAATGAATTTACCTTCAGTTCAGACATTTCATCTCATTTACTATTCTATAAGTCTGCTATTGAAAGTTAGTTGTTAGTTGCTAATGGCAACTAAAATAATATTGTGTAATGACAATTTATTGAATATATATGTGTTTAAAATCCCAATCAAGTATCCAGATTCTAATCAAATTAGATAAAATATATATTGATATGAGTCTATATACATCCAAATGATGCCCCACATACACAAGAGGAAGCTTTCAGCAGGTTCAGAAGAGACCAATGTTTAGTAGATTGTAAAAAAATAACTTCAGGAAAACTTTCAGGTACCATCAAAAAGTTCATTATTAACTGAGTTTTTGGCAGACACAGAAGACTGTTTGATAGAGAATGAAGAGAAAGAAAAATACAAAACCAAAGGGAGAAGAGGATATGAAATATCCTGGAAACAGAGCAACTATTGCAGAAACAATATGGACAATATACTGACATTATTTAAAGGCTCAAAATATTGGGAATGAGAAGATGGAAAAGACAAAAAACACAACGTTAATATATAGACTTAGAACTAAATTTTCATAATGTTAATTTTAATTATCAATTTAGCTGTCATCAAAACATATGAATCCCTATTCAACTTTCTATTTTATCAACTTTTTGAAGTTGTACACACTTCAAAAATAATTTGGAGATAATTTTGATAAGCATAGTACTTCTCAGCCATTAAGACAGCTTAACTTTTTCAGGCTTCCACATGCACCTGAAAAAAAAAAGTTGCAGCTGCTTTAAGGAGACAGCTCATTAAAGTTAATGTGACTCTTAAAGCAACCACTACTTTTTTTCAGGCTCACATGGAAAACTGAAAAAAAAACCTCATGCTGCTTTGATGAATAACAGGTTGGTGTGTTCACAGTCACAAGACATCCAAAATACTTGAATCATTTTTGAGATAAAACCTGCCCTAACCTACCTATCTACCTACCAAACTATGCTCTTTTCATGCTTTTTTTTTTTTTACAAGAAATTTACAAGGCTTTTACAAGGAGCAAATGCAATTAAAGCAACACTGAAATTATTTTAATTGGAAGAGAAACACTAATATCACACGGACAGGGAGAAAAAACATTATATGAAGGATAACATAAGAAGTAGAGAAAAGCAGAAGGAAACATGATTCTTGAGGGTAGGATTTGAGGGTGGGGTGAACTTTCTAAGATTTGTGTATGAGAGCCTTCAGAAACAATAGTTAAAACACAACTTCCTAATTTCCAATATATTAGCTGGGAGTTGAAGTTGAATGCATATGGAAACCATAGTGTGAAAAAATGGTACATGATTTTCAAACCAGTCTTTTTTGAAAGAGTTTATGTGTGAAATAATTTAGATTTGGTACCTCAGCTGTATCCTGGTAGTTTTATGACTCAGAAATTGAACTGATTTCTACATTTCAAGATACAATGAACTTTACTTAATGCTGAACTGGGAAATGTGGAGACTGGGAGTGCTAATTTCAGTGGACACCTTTCCACTAGCTAATTGTAGTAGGCGGTTAATAACCATATCTTTGGCTTTGGTGGTCTTCATGTTCATTTCTTGCGATAGCTTCATGCTGATTTGATCTACGTTGGTCATTATGAACTCTGAAGTCAAGATCTGAGTGGGAGATATGCTGCTGCCCATCACATCCATGATATACTGCTTATACAGCTCTACCACTTTCTCCTCCAAATAATTATTCAGAATTGAATTAGAGAGAGGCTGCTGATGTTGCATGATGCTGGCCACCCGCCAACACGATGAATTCCTTTGGGATGGCTTCCGCGGGACCTCAGCAGGTAGCGTTGGAATTGAGTCTATTGGCAGTGGAATCTCTGATGATTCTAGGAATGGGCATATCCCACTGTCATAAATAGCATCTCTTTTAACTGAATTCATTGGTAGCACCTGATCGCCAGCGATATGCAGGTCATTGTAGTTCTTACAAATGCTTTTACAAGAAGAGGGAACGAGGTAAGCATCTTTGCTCATGGATGATCCCACATAGATTTCCACAGCTTCAGATGTTTGCCTTTCAAATACTGGATACTGCATCGTCTGTGTCAATGTGTCTTTCTGCTGTTTATTATTTTTGTTTTTTTGGGAAGAAACAGAGATCATAAATTTGTCCACAGATCTATAATTCCAAAATAAACTTCTATTTTGCATTTTCTCTGTTGATTCATAAGTGACACCATTTAATGACTTCATCTCATGTATTGCCTCTTCTGTTTCTGTATCATAGAGCTTGTAATTCAAGAGTTCATGATAAGGGATTTTACAGAGATACCCTTCAGACAACATTCTTTGGGGGGAAGAAAGGAAGGAAGAATATCAGAACACAGACTTGCTAAATATTATCGTTAATAAAATTGTCAGAGCTGACCTGTGAGTTTACTGGCTGAACCTGACATGGTTATTTCATCAAATATAATGTGCAACCCTTGAAATGGGTATGATATCTAATGTCATTCTTAATCATCATAATCACTGTTTCAAAGCTCATGGAACTTAAAACAAGATAAAGCAGCCATTCCAGCCAGGTGGCATCTGTATGTAGGGATCTATTGATAAATCAGGGGCCAAATGCTATTAGAGTAGCTGCATCCTTTGTTTCTCAGTATGAACATTGTGATGAGGGGAGATCAACCTGGTCCCTTCCATTAATCAGACAAGTAAGAGCTGTGGGAAATTTGCAGAGGCACTCACCACCAGATAAAGAACCCTACTTAGCTAACCTGGAAAGTACAAGGGCATTGTTACTCCACTGCATTCATCAGCTACAGTCATTTTAATCATGGTCTTTGGGCTTGGGAATTCTAATCAACATAAATAAAGGCCAAAAATAGATCTTCAAAAACCCCAGCAAAAGAATATGAAAAATCTAAGAATGATAATACATTGCAAATCACATTTTTTTTTACCTTAATGAAATTGTCTTATCACCCTTTTTTCCCCCATTTCACATCCTGTCTTTTAAATGTGAGCCTGTAAAAAGGGCTTTCCTTCTCTTTTGAATTGCTCATATTTGAATATAAGCTGCTTTGGAAGACAATGTCTGGAAAATGTAGTGTGTGTTTTTTTGAATAATATATAATTTTCAGCATATCTGGACAGCAGTAGTTTGGTTAATATTACGATTGTAACTGAGGCAATCAGAGGTAACATAGAGGTGCATGATTCAGGCTTAAAATATTACTGAAGGTTCTCAAAATTATTTGAAAAATGATACTTTGAAATAATCAGACCCAAATATATAAAATATAAATTAATCATCAAGTGTTTCTTTAATAGTATTTATGCACTTAGAATAAGTTCCAACAGAAGAGAATATCTGTAGCTCAGGGTTTAACTGTGGAGTTCTTGATGCTCTCTGAGCATGGTTGTTTGCTTGCAGATGTTTCATTACCTAACTAGGTAACTTCATCAGTGAAAGTGAGTGTGGGGTTTGCTGCCTGTTTATATGCAGTAGCTTGCCCCACCAGTTTTGGTGGGGGTAAGGTTTCTTCCTTGGTGGTTTCTTTGATTAGGGTATTGTTTTCTGCCTGATCTTTTGTCTGGTGCTGATCCCTGCTTACCTGAATGTGGGCTATTGGGGGGAATGTGTTGTAATCTTTTTGTTTGCTTCCTAGGTTTTTTATGGTCTCTCTTAAATTATGTGTAAATGTGGTTTAGGTCTACATTTGATTTGTCTGAATGCCAAGCTTCCAGGAATTCCCTAGCATTCTTGGATTTGGCTTGGTCTAAGATGCTAATAGTTTCTCAGTTGCAACGTGTTTGAGTCTGTCCACGTGTTCTGAGATAAAGGAGTTTTCGTCATGTCTTCTGAAGTTAGTTGGTGTTCGTACATGCTAGTCTTCTGCCTGTCTGTCCTACATACAGTAGTTGGCTCTTGCAGTCTTTGCATTGTGTGTCATAGATGACCCTTCCCCCCCCCCCCCCCTCTCCCCCCGTCCGTGTTTTTGTTTTTTTTTTTTTATTGTCCTTTTTTTTTTTTTTTTTTTTT